AGATCGTGACGCTTTTGGAAGGTGGCGCCCCGTCGTTGCTAATCAAACGTGTGTAGTCAGTTAGTTTTATAAACATTTAAAATAAGAATATTTCTAATGGTGATACCATGAAAACTTTTTATGTACAAATTATAACCTAAATTAGCTGATACCTAGAACGAGAGGCTTACTGTTCCTTTAATCTGATTGTGAGTTATGTAGCCTACAACGATTACCAAAAAAATTAGTAAGGTTTACCAACACACCAGCAAACCGTTGGCCTCGCAATGTATCGCGTAGTCGTTGCGTACTGCCCCGATGAGTGATCAACATGCCCGTGCAGCTTATTAGTTCTTATCCGTCCGCCCGACGCACTGAACCGGCCTGGTGTGCCAGGTGGAGGCTCCTTGGGAACGAGCAAGGATTGCATTAGTGGAAGGGGAAGACAGACCAATAGAAGCCGCATGAACCCACCAGCCAGGCGCACCTCCACTCGAAATGGCTGCATGTTGTGGTCAGGTGTCGTTGCGTGTTCCATGACAGCTGGTGTTATCCTGCAGAGAGTAAATCTGAATGTCGTCAGTGCATGCATATGCAATCCACACTACAGTACACGAGGGGTTAGGGTGTATAGCTTAAGCTTTAGGCGGGCTTAGGTTAGGGTTATGAGATATGTTACACGTGGTTACGATGTATGTGTGGGGATTCCTTATTATAGGCGTTGAGTGGTCAGCTTGCCGCCTTCGCTCTGGCATAGGGGTTGCATAGCGACAATGTACTGTCAGCTATAGCAGGTTAGTGCCAGTGGTGTACTTTTTTTTTTTTGAAGGTGTGTGAGGGCAAACATGTAGTTTGTAACCTAAAGTTTTGCTCATACTCATACTGTGAGCAACGCCAATTAAGACAAACTCAAATGAGTCCGTAATAATGCTTAAATTGCAGTGACTTCAATATATTAACCAAACTTGGCGCAATAAATGAAACTGTCTTACCCAAAATATAGAGCCACCAGTAACTCTCAAGCTAGTACCCTAACCTGCAGACATCGCTCCAGCTCTGAACCACATTCTCTGACCCGCGGGCAGCGTAGCGATACTGCGTAGCTAAGACTGGTTACCCAGTTCGCCACTCACTCCGGCTATCTTGCCTTCGCACTCCTTCGCTACCACTGACGTTTATGGCCTGCTAGCTGAGTGTGCGTGTGAAACTGTCACGAGGTACCAGTCTAAGCGGTTAGACTAGAGACTAGAGCCACCTGGTCGCTTAGGGGACTCAATGATCCAATCGTCTGCTGGCGAAATGTACACTTTTGACGTTATCCTAGTTTCTGATTACCGATAAGTTAGATAAAATATATAATTCATTATTAAATTCCCAAACTTATATTGGGATTACTTTATTATAGTATATATAGTATGTTAGCATGTGTGCAACTCTCTAATGGCGAGTGGCTCGACCTTTCATCTCTTGAACCTTGGCGCGCCTGAGCTCATACTATGGATTCTGTCCTATCAGCAGGAGTGTTGTGATGATATTGTTTGTTGCTTACAAGCCTGATACACGTGACATAGTTCGCTCTCCTCTGGATCTTTCGACACGTACGATTTACGGTATATTATCGTGTAAAGTTACAGTAAATGTAGTCATTTGTTAAGCTCTGTTTTTATGTCAAATGTTAGGTAAAAATGTCTACGCATACGACCGAAAGCTTGTCTCAGTGTTGTCAATGTTGACTGTCTGACGGAAGACTGGTCAAAAACCTATCGGGCCACATCAGCCGAGTGCAGTTTTGTAACAGTCACTGAAACCAAAGCAGACACCAACAGCTTTATCAATACTGCTGCAATTCTGTCCGTTCTTACTATAGTAGCCTATTTTCTGGTCATATGATGCCAGTTCACACACACAATCATATAATGTGGTAGCTGACAGACGCAGCGACTATCAGGGAGATTCAGTATTTGGTGTCACTCGCCCATACATTCATCGAGTGACACATAATTAGTCGGAGCCGCCCGCATCTGTGGGGATGCTAAACCTCCAAGCTAGGGACTCGCGTCCTCTTCCTCTCGATCACGCATAGTCCAGTTTTAAGAGCTCGTATCATTTCCCTGGTCCCTAACACCTATTCTTCATATACTCGCATCTTATTTCCATCACCTTCACTTTGCCGAGCTTACTTCGCGATCCACGTATTAAGGTACGAGGTTACTTGATTATCAGATTAGTATCGTTCGCGGGTTTGTAGACATCTGTTAGTAATCGTAGAGTAATTGTTTGTTTAGGCGTGTTAAAGTAATAGAATGCACAAGGATTAGCTTTTGTAATACTGTTCTGTCGTATATCTATTGACGTGACCAGACGGCTACCCTTAAGGTGTGATACGCTCACACATTTAGGATCGAGAACTGGGGTGAGGTGAACTGTCCGGCAGCCTCCTTAGAATATACCTCACTACATCCGCCCGCCATAGTCCGAGCGATCCGACTTCACAGTAATGGGGTTTAAAGCCGCACCTCAGCGATTAGCAAGCGGAGGTCTATAACGTCCTGCATTGCATGACAACCGCAACATAGCAATATCATATGGTATCGCTATTGCGCAAAATGCCTGGGGTGACGTAACCATTGACTACCGGCACTCGGTTCAAAAAACTATTGATAGTATGTTTGCATTTTCAGAGAATGGCAACTAAGCCAGTGCTGTTTGGAACCTGACTGGGCATCTCTATTACAAATATTGCGAAGCATCAGCCAGGGTGACTGTACAGTAAAGTAAGAGCAATGAAATGTTATGGCTAATTAAATTTCCAATGCTTTCAATAGGAATTTCTTGCTTCGAGATTAAATCACTGAAATGTTTTCTTATTATAAAGTCTTCAAACGGTTATGTCTTGATAACAGCAGGGAGATATCAGAGAAGAGTATGATCGATCTTTAGAATATGTTCGGTATTTGTTGGTCATCTGATACATATTTACGTAAATTTATAATCGATTCTTGTTTTCCATTTTCGTTAGCACCCAAAGTATGCACTCCAACATGCATAGAAAAAGATGTTCATACCAAAATCCATTTGTGGCAACTGTTTAGCCCTAACAGGTAGTTATAATAACATTTCGAATAAATAGTTTGAATGCATGAAACGCATTTTTTCAAATGAATGTATCATTGCTTTGGTATTACAATGTTATGATCGTAGTTCTCACAAGCATGTCATGTCTATAAATTCATATCTCTACATTGACACAGTCGTTTTACTAGTATGGCTGATTTAACTCTTTAGGTAATCGAGTCCTAGTGTTCAAAACTCGTGCAATTCCAGTTCATTGTGGAAATTGCCCAACCAAGCATTCATGGAAGAGATGTAAAGAACTGGGAAGGTTAGTTAGCTTGGAGCTATATTATCAGTTATGTATTCACTAAATTGTACATTCCAAAATTATTAATATTGTAGTGAATTCTGAAGGCTATGTCGATAATTCAATGAAAAAGTAGATTCGCTGTTTTCTCAGCCAATTCGATATAGTATTGTGATGACAGCTAGAGCAATACTGCGGCCTGAGCCATTCCTCAAACAGGGCTACTTTAGTACCCCTTTTTACATGAATCAACATCATCATTACAACATCACAATATTATAACCCTAACAACCCTAATGCCGGCTTAACCCCTACGCTTTTAAAACCCCATCATGCGTGGCAGGGTCATTAGATGTAGCACTGACCCCGACACCACCCACCCACACAACCCCCACTCACCACAACCAACCCACGCCACATTTTGCCTCCTTTAACTATCAAACGGGTGGAACTGGCACAGGTTGGGCCTCTTACAATCATCTCCTCGTTGCTGCATGCACCCTTTACAGGTAGGGAAGGACACCGTCAAGGCAAAGGTGTTGGAACTGATACAGGTGTGGTCTCACGCCTTCCGCAACAAGCCAGTCTTCCGTATCGTACAGGATACCTACAATCTAATGAAGCTGGAGGGATACCAGTTCCCTGCCCTGAAGGTATACATAGTCATGGGGGCCATTCTCATTAATAAAATTAGTCTTGACATTAGTCTTAGCGTGAACTTTTTTGCTTGTAGACCAGGGGGGCGTTTCAGAAACATCGTAAAGTTAATGCTAAAAGTTGAATGCTACATAACACTGTGGCGACTAATGGCTAATGTTGCCCGAAGACTTAGCGTTAAAACAATCATCGCATGCTATTAGAAAACTTACGATAACAAGGAACTTAATCACAACGGCTGCTGATTGGATTGAGAAATCGATCCTCACAAAAATTCAAATTCATACACATTTATCATGTTACCATCACAAGTAATTATGCATATTATGAATGGCCCACACCCATTATAAATAATATTTGATGACAAAATGAGCGTAGGTCATGATTATTTACTGCACAACAAGACAAATTCTCGAACACTGCAAGCGAGAGTTGTGCAAGATCGATAACATTTATACAAAACAAGAGAACAAATGCCATACGCCATTTATTAAATGTATTGTTTTGTTTTATTAGCAGTAGATAATTAATTATTTTGACGTGTTTTAAGAAAAAACACATTTTATTCATTATTATAAATTATATATCACTATAATTGTAATTCGTAGTGTTAAATGTGCTTCATTTTCAACTTAATATCTAAGTTACAATAGGCGTCTGGGGCTCTGTAATGTTAGCGCGAATATTTGCGAGGATTTTTTCGTTCTCGTAAATTTCGACTGTTTCTGTCAACGGTTTACGAGTGGAAGTTAATGGTAAGACTAATGTTGCGACTAATTTTGTTTCTGACAACGGCCCCCAGGTCTCTTTACACACTGCGTATGAGAAACCCGTACCTTGTTTCTGTCAACAGTCTGAGAAAGAGTTTTAATGTTAACACTAATGAGGTTATGTTAAGACAAATTTTGTTTCTGACAATGGGCCCATGATCATTCAATACTATAATACAATAATTCAATGATAATAAACTATATTCATGTTAAATGTCTGTATCTTACTATAATTTGGCGAATGTTGTATGTATGTAATTTAATGAAAGGCTCCGTCAGTTTGGATCCAAATAGCGCCAAATTCACAGAAGAGATCGATGAATACACGGGACGGGTTCTAAACTATACTCGGTTGAAAACCGTAAAAAAGGCTTAAAAAAGACAAAAAAGGTAAACATTTGCCTGAAAATAGGGGGCGCTATATCTCTTATTCATGCTGTTTGTGCACAGCGAGGGCGTGCGGTGTACTTGCGTGTTGCAGATGAGCATTTCACTGGCATTTGCAGGTGATTATAGGCGAAATAGAATAGAGAAACATTAAGACTTTGGTACATTTCGTGTTTATTTACCATTAATTTTTTTTATTGAGATGTTCCAAGTGCCTGTGATCTCAACTTTAAAAAACAAACATGTGCAACAACTAAACTCTCCATATAACACCTTACACATAACACTACTGGTAACACATGCATTACAGTCACTAAGCCCGCGCTTAGCGCGGGTTCCAGCTAGTTTATCAAAATTTTGGATCATTATTCTACAGATAGGATTGCATCAACAGATATTTTTCATAACAACTAATAAAATATAAATATATTATTATAATTATATTATTCAGTAGTTGATCATTTATTTTGTAAATTTTGTATATATCATAAGACGTGCATGATAGGGATAATAAACTATATTCATGTTAGATGTCTGTATTTATCAAAATTTGGGATCGTTATTCTACAGATAAGATTGATATTTTTGATAACAACTAATATAAATATATTATATATAATATAACATGCTGAACTGAGCAGTAGGCCCTATATGTACAATGCTTTGTCCATTAGAGAGATCCCAAAATCCCTTACGGGTTCCAGTGGCAATCCCCATCATATGCGTGCATGAGTCATTCACTCAGTGTAGTTGCAACATTGATTGGACCAAATGTGTTGTACTGTTGTGGTTCTTGTCTTGTACTGAGCATATCATATCTGTTAGCTACAACGTTTATCTTGAAATCCTTATTCTGTTTCTGAAAAGATACTATTAGAATGGTAAGACAGGTAAGAATCGGTCCCACTTTGCATTTAGTGAAAAACTGTACAGTTAAAGTAGTGTAACAGCAGATTATGCTACATGTAACCACGTCTGTGTTGACGTTTGTGTATAACTACAGGTGTAGAGCTGGCTATTAATTCGTACACAATAATTAATTAATTAATTAATAATTTAATTAATTAATTAGTATAACAACACAATTATCAAATTTAATTATTTTAAAGAAAATAAAATTTTCTGCTGATTAAACCATAACAATAATTTCATTATATTCTACATGAGGTATGTGCATGAAGTGACACGTAACTAAATTTCGAGGAAGAGCAACTCGTTGCGCAAGTCGGTTACGCACGAGTGATCGCGACACTCATGTGATCTTGATGATTCGTCTTTTTATAGGAGAGTGACGCCATGTTTGCAGCGGATGAGGCGCCGGAGTGGGCTGATGGAGAGTGCTGCCACCGGTGTCGCGTCACCTTCACCATGGTTCAGAGAAAGGTCGGTAAGACGCTGACACGAATGCGCGAAACGTGACTGGACATTAGTGACGCTCTTACCTTTAGGCACTTTGTTGGCACTTCATCAGATACTTACGTAGCTATTTCTAGCCAACAAGCAGGTGGTGTAAGTATGCGATATTTGCGTCGCTTAATCATTACTTGTGTAACCTAAATGAACGACGTGCGATTCGCAATCAACACACACCACAGAAGGTGCTATCACTGTGACCCCTGTCACGCCTCTGCCACAGACAAAACGTCAGAGAGTCGCTCGGCCGCAGGGAATAACATTTCTGCCACAATCGAATCTTCCGTCCGGGTAATTTCTGGAGGTTTAGCGCCCCCCCTGACACATCAGTCCGCGACGCGAGTGTCGATGCGGCGACGCGAGTGTCAATGCGGCGACGCGAGTGTCGATGCCTGCGCTGACGCGAGTGTCGTTGCCCGCGGCGATGCGAGTGTCGTTGCCCGCGGCGACGCGAGTGTCATTGCCCGCGGCGATGCGAGTGTCGTTGCTCGCGGTGTGACGCGAGTGTCTTGCCCGCGGCGACGCGAGCGCCGTTGCCCTCGGTGTGATGCGAGCGTCGTTGCTTGCGGCGATGCGAGTGTCGTTGCCCGCGGCGATGCGAGTGTCGTTGCCTGCGCTGACGCGAGTGTCATTGCCCGCGGCGATGCGAGTGTCGCTGCCCGCGGCGACGCGAGTGTCGTTGCCCGCGGCGATGCGAGTGTTGTTGCCTGCACTGACGCGAGTGTCGTTGCCCGCGGTGTGACACGAGTGTCGTTGCCCGTGGTGTGACGCGAGTGTCTTGCCCGCGGCGACGCAAGTGTCGTTGCCCTCGGTGTGATGCGAGCGTCGTTGCTTGCGGCGATGCGAGTGTCATTGCCCACGGCGAT